GCACCCTCTTCACTGTACTACCTAGCTGTCCCTGGACCCTAATAGCTGCCTGTAAGTATATATAATGGTTATGTGGAGGAAGGGGGAAAGGGAAGGGAATAAGCATTTATAGAGCCCCTACTATGTTCCAGGCAGTATGTTAAGCTCTTTATCTCATTTGATCCTCACAACAACCCTGGGAGGGAGGTTTTATTATCTTGATTTTATAGTTGAAGAAACCAAGGCAGACAGAGGTAAAGTGACTTGCCCAGATCACAGAGCTAGTAAGTATGTGAGGACAGATACTTCTGTCAGGTCTTCCTGACTCCAAGCTTAGCCCTCTATTCACTGTGTCACTTAGCAGCCCTTGTCAATAAGTTAGTTATATTTCTAAAACCTAGGTTTAACCACATCACACTTCATTGTGACTACTTACCTCTAAGGATAAAACATGAATTTAAAGGTCTCCCACAGCCTGGCTCCAACCTAGCTTTCTAGTCTCACATCATCATACCTTAGCTACACTGGTACAGTAATCATTCCACAAACTCAACATCCCATCTCCTTTTTACCACAGCTTCCAAAAAGTTGCCCCATTTGCCTGGAGTGCACTCCTTCTCGCCCTCACCACTGTCTGTTAAGAGCCTGAGAGGCTCAGGTCAGGGGCCACTTCCTATGGAAAACTACCTCCTGCAATTATTAGCACTTCCTCCTCCAGTTACCTTCTACTTGTATATCTCTCTATCTCCCCCGAGGGAAGAGGCTTCATTTTGGAGTTAGTGTCCTCAATGCTTACAACTATGTTTTGTACATTAGTAGTAGTAATCAGTAGTTGTAGTAGTAGCAGTCATAGCAGCAGCAGTAGTAGAAGTAGTGGTGGTGGTGGTTATAATTGTAGTAGCAACAGCAGCAGCAGTAGTAGGTACTTAATAAATGCAGTGAAACAAAGGCTGAAAATAACTAGGTATCTGGGAGTGATGGAGAAGAGCTTGTTCAGGTATGGGTTCTATGAGATGTCTTCTGAGATCCTTGCTAACTGCCAGAGTCTGTGAGGGGAGAATGACATGAATAACTTAAGTCACTCTGTCAGTTTTAAGTTAATTTAGGCTCTAGTAAATTAATTCAGTATTGAGCAGATAGCTACTGAAGAGACATCTTATGTTTTGAACAACATATTTTTGACAGTTTTCAAGTAAATAGTTTCCATAGTTTTTCAGAATAAATTCAGGTTTAGCACAGGCTATCATGACTTCAAATTGGCCAGCCTCAATTAATGTTTCAAATATTTCTCTTTTGCCCGGTGAGATAGTGCTTTTTTTTAAAAAAGCTTTTATTTATCCAAGTGACAGTCATGTATGATTGCTCATAACAAGCAAGTTATCAAACATACTAATAAACTTGAATCTTAGTATTTTCACTCTTAGTCATTCAAGGACTAATTGTCCAATTAGTGAATCATCTTGCTCTCACTGACATCTGACAGTTTCATTGCCTGCCTAATATCTTTATCAAAGTATAAAATAGTAGGAGTAAAATGAACTTAATAAATCTTTTCCTCTACTTCCTAGGTTGTTGTTCAGTCATTTTTAGTTGTGTCTGATACTTTGTGACCCCATTTGGGGTTTTCTTGTGAAAGATACTGGAGTGGTTTGCCATTTCCTTCTGCAGCTCATTGGACAGATGAGGAAACTGAGGCAAACAAAGTTAAGTGACTTGCCCAGGGTCACATAGCTAGTAAGTATCTGAGGCTGGATTTAAACTCATACAGATGAATCATCCTGATTTCAGGCTCAGCACTCTATCTACTGTGCTACTTAGTTGCTCTTCCTAGGAGTCTTTTAAATTTGAAGCAAATATAAACTATACAGTAAAATATGGTTTTGATTTATTCATGGATTTATATTATCCATGCTAGTCCTGCATCTTATTTAAACTTTAGCTATATTATACTTTTCTCTTTGTACCAGAAATTATCCCACTGACCATCAGTAGGATATGGTAGTGAGCCATCCACGCTTTCTGGTCCTCATTATGGCTGGTGGCATGCTTTTATTGGATTCTACAAAATAAAGCAACTATCTCAATGACAATACTACTAATAACTAACATTTATATAAGGCTTTAAAGTCTGCAAAATGCTTTATATATAATCTCATTTGTTCTACTTAGCCATTCTACAAATTAGAACAAACTACTGATTTGCTGAACCCTGAATTAACTTGTTTAAAAATAATAGAAATTATCTCATGCATCAGTTTAAACCAGGGCCAAATCTATTTCTGAATCTGTTCAGCTGGAAGAACATCCAAACATGAACTATGGTGAATTGTTTTTAGCCCTTAGAGGTCAATAAAGTTAGGTGGCCCGTTTTGGGGTAAAGTCTCTGACACCACAGCATATATTTCATTTCTCAGTTGTCCGAGAGAATAGATAGCAGTGTGGCATAATGGAAAGAGAGATAGAAATTTAGGAGAGAGTTTGAATCTTGCCTCTCATAGTACCCACCTAGATCACCTAATCTCCCTGAGCTTTTGTTGCTGCTGCTGTTGTCTTTAAAATACAGATAGTAATGCCATCCACCTCAAAGGGCGGCCTTGAGGATAAACTGACACGAGACAGTGCTTTTTTAAACCCTAAAGCCCTATGAAAATGGAAATGATGATTTCGGGCGATTATCCCATTTGATCTTCATAACAGTCCTCTAAAGCGGGCGGGTCAGCTATAAAACTCAGTGAAAGTTGAATGATTTGGGGAAGGCCATCGAGGTATAGTTAATAATAAAATCATAGCTAACATTTCCGTAGTATTAAAGTTCAAAATATTATATGTGCACATAATATACTATAAATACTATTTATTGTATGATATATTATAAATGTATGTATAATGTTTTGTAAATTTTAGTACTAGAGAACTGTTAGCTGTTATATATATATATACATATACATATATGTGTGTGTATATATGTGTGTATATATACACACACACACACACACACACACACACACACACACAATCACATAATCTCTTTTGATCCTCACAACAAACTTGTAAAATAAGTTCTTTATTTATACCCATTTTGCAGATGTTAAAATCCAGGCTGAAGGAGAGTAAGTAACTTGCTGTAGGTCAGGCCTGCCTAACCTGTGGTGGGCAGCTTATGGCCTGCAGGCCACTTGCGCCACGCCAGAGGATTTCCTCTACATCCTAAGGATGTTTTCCTTTACATTTTTCACAGGTTTTGCTGGCTGCCTAAAATCCTTTGGCGGGCCGCAGGTTGTGCAGGCCTGCTCTAGGTCATACAGCTAACATGTTTCTGAGGTGAGATTCAACTCAGGACTTCCTGATTCTTAGTTAAACACTATATCTGCTATTATTCCGTCTCCCTAGCATCTAGTAAGTGATGGAAGACCCAGATCTTTTGAGCCATAGTAGTGTGGTTGTTCTGTGTTGTTAATAAGGGATAGGCCCAAGCTGTTAATAGCCTTATGAAAAAGTGCTTCAATTTACTAATAATTAGAGAAATGCAAATCAAAGAAATTCTTAGTTACTACCTCATGCTCAAAAGTTTACAAAAAAGGAAAATGACAAATGTTGGAGAGGTTGTGGGAAAATAGACGCGTTAATGTGCTCTTAGTGGTGCAGTGAATTAGTCTAGCCGTTCTGTAAAGCAGTTTATATCTTTACCTAAAAAAATTACTGAACTGTGTTTACCTTTGACCCAGTGATACTTTACTCGGCCTATATACCCAAGAGATGAAAGAAAGAGGAAAAGATCTATATATACAAAAATATTTATAGTAGCTCTTTTTGTAGTAGCAAAGAACTAGAAACTAACAGGGTACCCCTCAATTGGAGAATGAATGAACAAATTATAGTGTAGGAATGGAATGCTGCTGTCCTGTAATAAATGATAAAAAGGATGGTTTCAGAGAAACCTGGCAAAACTTGCATGAACTGATACAGTGAAGTTAACAGAACCAAGACAGTAATTTGTACAATAACAACTTTGTATATACTAGTAATTTTAAAAGACTTGAGAACTCTACTCAGTGCAGTGATCAACAGTGATTCCAGAGAACTTATGAGGAAATGTGCTTATTTGCCTCCTGACAGAAGGGTGATGGATTTAGAGTACAGATTAAGATAGGTAGGTAGTTAGGTAGGTAGGTAGATAGCTAGCTAGCTAGCTAGCTAGATAGATGGATAGATAGAGTGAATGCATGCAAGGGCGGGTGCATACGCGCATGCGCACGCTCGCACGCGTGCGGGCGCAGACACACACACACACACGTTTATATACATATGCCAAGCAAAATAAATGTCTACATTGGCAAAGTTCAAATTTATTTCACTTGGTTATGTTTACCTTTTTTATGAGAACTTTGTTTTTCTTTTTCATTGAGGGTGGGAGTGTAAATGAAGAGAGAAGATAGATTTTTGTGTATTTAAAAAAAATAAAAGAAAATAGAATTTTTAAAAGAAAGTTGGGGACAGTGACTGGACATGTGATTTCACTGGTATCCAGAACCCCAAAATAAGTGAGTTTCCTCTCTCCATATAGGTCCAAGTAGCATCTTAAGTGAGTTGCCTAGAACACTTAAGAGTTTAAACGGCTCACCCAAAATTAGATTGATGGTTTGTTTCAGAGGCAGAAGGTTTTTTGAGCTCCAGGGATGGATACATGCATTTATTAAGCATGTACCATGTACCAGACACTGTGCATTTTATGAATATATCATTTGATTTTCAAAAACCCTGGGAGGTAAGTACTATAATTATCTCCATTTTACAGGTGAGGAAACTGAGGTAGAGGTTAGTTGACTTGCCTAGGGTCACACAGATACTTACTAGTATCTGAGACCAGATTTGAACTGAGGTGTTCCTGACTCCAGACCCAGTGCTCTGCACACTGTGATGCTACTAGCTGCTTCCTAAGCTCTTGTATTGTAACATGCTGCCTCTTTTAGACTAACAAATGTTCTGAAAATCCTAATGCCTATGTTTATGTTCTTCAGCAGTTCTGAGGCGGAGCCTTCAAATCACCGAGAAAAATGGTGGCCTTGTCATTAAAGATTTGTGTCCGCCACTGCAATGTAGTGAAGACAATGCAGTTTGAACCATCCACAGCAGTGTATGATGCATGCCGGGTCATTCGGGAGCGGGTGCCTGAGGCGCAAACTGGACAAGGTGAGTCAGGAGTTAGTACCTCAATTTTCATGGAGCATTACAGCTAATTCTGTTTCTAGATAATATTAAGTCACATTTTGATAGTGCTATTAAGGTTTACAAAGTCCTTTTTTTTTCCAGAATATTTTTGTGATTCAGATATTGCAAGTATTCCTATTTTGATGAGGAAATTAAGGCTCAGATAAATCAATTACCCATGATCACATTGCAAGTAGCTATTAGAATCAAGATTCAAACCCAAGTGTCGTGTCTGCGAGTTCTGCTCTCAGATACCTGCTGGACAGTTCCACCTGGATATCCCTCTTAGCATGTCAGACTTGATGTGTCCAAAACTCTAACTCATTATCTTTTTCCAAGAAACAAAAACTTCCTTTCAAGTTTCCTGTTTTTATTGATGTCCACCTTTCTCTGTCTCCCAGGCACGAAATCTCAGTGCCGTCATTGACTCTTTCTCCTTTATCTTCCATTCAGTTATCAGCCCCAGTCAGTTTATCATCAGCGATATCTCTTAGAACATTCTTCTGATTCTCCCTACTCACAATGCCATTCTCTCTTACATTTGATATTGTAATACACTCCAAAATGGCCCTCTCACCCCCGTCCATTTCTATATTCTAATCCATAATAATAATAATAATAATAATAATAATAATAATAATAGCAAACATTTATATATTGCCCACTGTGCAACAGGTTCTGTGCTAAACACTTTACAAATATTATCTCATTTGATCCTCATAACAACTGGAAAATAAGTGCTATTATTATCCCCATTTTACTGAGGAAACTGAGGCAGACAGTGGCTAAGGGTCACATAACTAGCAAGTGGCTGTGGCTGAATTTGAACCCAGGGCTGGCTGTCTATCCACTGTGCCTCCTACCTGCCAGTCATCACAAAGGTGCCAAAGTAATTTTCCTAATGTACCTCTAACCATAACACTGTCTTAGGCTGAGCCCTCCACAGTTAGGTTCTAATCTGCCTTTCCAAGCAGTTCACTCTATTTCTTTTTAACTAGCTATTGTTACGAAATGTGTTGGTAACTTTACAAAGCTGTAGATAGGAGTTGCTGCTGATTATATTATTACCTACAATGCAAGAATGGCAATAGGGAAATAATTTGAAAGATTTAAAGTGGCTGGGCCTGGTATTGATGGTACATAGCTATAGTCTCCAGTGCTGGGGAAACCGAGGCTGATGGATTACTGGAAGTTCACAGCTGCAGAAGGGCTAAAGCCAAGCAGATATCCACACTAAGTGCACACTAAGGAGGGGTGAACTGGCCCAGAACAGAAAAAGGGCGCAAGTTAAAACTTCTATGACAATCGTTGTCGAGATTAGCTTTATGAGTGACTGCTGCACTCTAGCTGGGTTGAGATTGAAGACCCATTCTCTGTACCACCACCATACCCATGGTTCCCCCATGTCCCCTCGAAAAAGAAAAGAAAAAACCTAAGATTCTATGCAAATGCGGCCCAATTATTATTACAGTGATTAATTTTTCTTAATGTTTAAAACTACGGCATCATATTTAACAGTTTTTACATGACAGCTTTTCATGGCCTGCTCAGTTTTCTTGAATAAACACAGAACACATGAACTTAGCAGACATCATATCAAGATTCTGAAACTATGAAAATCACCACTTCAAATTCCTTCCTAAAAGGATGCCAGTTGTCAAAAGACAGAACTGTACAATGCTATTTTTCTTGGCTTGAAAGCCAAGAATTTATGTTATTACAGATTGTATTTAAGACCATACTTGTTTGAACTATTGCCATACTAATATTTTTCAAATTCACTTCTTGGAAGTTTTATATGTCATTGATTTTGACATGGTTATCAGATTAGTACATTTATTATTTACATTAGTTAATCGGTCACATTATCAATATTAACAGTAGATATTTATCTACTCCAAATTATAGACTTGAATCCCCAGAGCAATTTTTGGTCCTTTCCTGCCCCTCATCCTTCTGCACATACAATCAGTTGACAAAACCTTATGATTTCAGTATTTAAATACTGTAAGAGATCTGTGACCTCATTGATGCACTCCCCTCAATGGTGAAGGTAATAAATAATTAATTACTTCGTATCTGGTCTAGTTCTTGTCTGTATCCTCCTATCAGTTCTACAAAGAGAATATACTTAATGATTTTGAAGTCTTTCACTATATCTTTTTTTTTTTCTGTGAGGCAGTCTGGGTTAAGTGACTTGTCCAAGGTCACATAGCTTAAGTAAGTATCTGAGGCCAGATATGAACTCAGGTCCTCCTCCTGACTCCAAGACCAGTGCCGCTATACCACCTAGCTGCCCCTTTTTCAGTTTCTTTTTGTGCATACCACTGAAGCATTGAGGTTGTCCATATGCAATTCCGTATGTAAAACCTTATGCCCACCATTTATCTCTCCATTACCCTTTTTGCTACCAAAAATTTTTATTTTTTCTGAGCTTGTTGTATTTCATGATTTGTAGCCATATGACATCAGTGGAAGAATGTGCAATTCCACACTTCTGTCTCCCCCCTTTCCTTCTTCCCACCTTTTTTTCTGATCATTTCCTGGATGATATATCTTGTGCAAATTACTGCAATTTACTTAATAGAGATTCTCAGTTTCACATGTCATTGTTTTCTTCATTTCAACATTGTATATGTAAATGCTTGTTTTGCTATCTGTTTGTTAAGAGATAACTCAAATTGTTGCATATAAATCATTGTTGGTAGTGTGTAAAACCTTATGCCCACCATTTATCTCTCCATTACCCTTTTTGCTACCTAAAATTTTTATTTTTTCTGAGCTTGTTGTATTTCATGATTTGTAGCCATATGACATCAGTGGAAGAATATTCAGATGGATTTTTGTATAAGGAAAAAGCTTGTGATCACTAAAATCACTACATAATTTCCTATTTGCAATCTATTCCACCCTCTTCCTCCTATTCAATTCTGGGCCCAGGTCATTGCTTATTTGCAATATTTCACCAAGATAGTTGTACTGATGAATTAACTCAGCTGTACATCATCATCTGGGTAGTAGCCATTCTTCCATTTGGTTTAGACTGTATTGATTGTTAGGTGGGTCCCTTTTGAATTACCATGAATTTTACTGCAGAGTTCATGTAGTTCTTTGGGAGCTGAGAGAAGCAAAAAGTATAATATCATTAGCAAACCAGAGTACCTGGAATTCCTTATTGTCTATAGGTGATCCTTGCTGTTGGACCCTATGCAAGACCCCATTCTTGACTAAGGTAAATACCTTTGCTGAGCATATCACTCCATTTTATGTTCTGATTGTCAAAGTATCCTTGGGTAAAGGCTTTACCTATTAAGAATATTGTATGGCATAATAATTAGCAAATTAAACAGTAAGATCTCAGAGTCTGAATCTCTTTCTGTCAGTTGTTTGACTGTGAAAATCTATTGCAGAATTTTCTTTTTTGAGAAGCTAGCTTCTTTTCCCCTACTTCCAGAAAGTATGCCTTTCATGCTTGTATAGATGATTTTTTTTCTTTTATCTTATTCATATTAGAAAGTCGGCAACATGAATTGGTATTAATTTCTTCTTGATCTTCTTTTGAGGTGGGGGAAGCTAATACTATCAGTGAATTTTTCCCTAATCATTTATTATTTTACCTCTCTTTGAGATATCATAAAAACCGACTTGTCTTTGCTTTGAAAATCGTGTCACCTATAGCGTGACTCTCTTCCTCTTTTTCTTGGTCTGGTCCAGCTACTTTTTCCTTTTCATTTTATTAAGTATCATTGTTAATACTTCATATGGCACATCAAAGACTGAGATATTAAAGTCCAAATGGAGTTCTTCTACTTAACAGAGACTATGAAAACAAGTCCCTGTGGAAACTCTGCTTGATATGACTTTTTTTGTTTATTGTTTTACTTTCATCTATTAATGCTCATGATTATTCATACCTCACATCAGACTTTCTCAAGATTAATGTATCGTTCTGCTGTCATTTGCTGTTTTGTGAGACATGATCTTGTGAGCTCATGATCTCCCACCATCTTCCTTTAAAACATTTTATCAGTGAATTTATTGCTCCTTGATTTACATGTTTTTCCACTTTTTAGAGAGAAAACATCTGCTTACACTGGTGGTTTCTGGACTCTTGTTTTGATTGTCTTAGATCAGCTAAACTTCTGTAGGTCATCGTAATAGTCCACCTCCGTGCCTTTTTCTCTATTCATTTCCCTTTTTTCACTGTCAGTAGGTCTAGTTAGAGAGTTTGTGCTAGCATTCTCATATTTATCCTTTTGAATGACTAATATGGTAAAATCTGACTGCATGCCTGTCAATATCCATCTAGTTAAAAAAGATTTTTTTGTAATGTTTGGTGCATAACCATGCTCATCACCTTCTCCTTCTAGAAGAATCAATTTATCATATACAGGTGTGAGATTCAATATTCTAAAAGCCTTTGGTCTCTTTTGTTTCTTTTAATCCTGAACCATATTTTCCAATGTATTTTCTACTCTTTTATGCTTACCTTAATTTACATTTAATACAACAAGTGTATATATATATATGTGTGTGTGTGTGTGTGTGTGTGTATTTTATATATATATGTGTATACACACACACATACACACACACAAAGACACCAAGTTTGGAAGAACTTAGAAAATTTAATGAAAATTATAACCTCTTCATCTTTTCTAACCAATTTTAGTAAACAGACTGAAGAGATGAGAAAGTAGGTATATGTTTTCGGTATATGTCTTCTTGATTGCCTTTTGGAGAAGGTACTAATACTCTTTCTGATTTTTTTCCCTAATCATTTGATATCTTTTCCCTTTTCAGATTATCTTAAAAACTAATCTCATGCTTTCAAAACCATGTTACCTCCTGCATAGATGTCTTCCACCTGTCCTCAATCTGTTTTAGCTGTCTCCTTTTCTTCTCCTGAGGGTACAAGGCAGGATGGCCAAGTATCCTCTGGAATGTTTCTTGTTACTTTAGGCCACATGATAAAAACAACT